CCAGTCAAAAGGCTCAACTGGCACTTGGAATTAGTTACAGACTGTTCCTGTTGGCCCTTGTTGTATTGGAATGGTAATGAAGGAGCTGCTTCCGATACAAGCAAGGGCACTGACCCTTCCCAGGGCTCCAGTGGGAAAGGATTGTTTGGAAAAAAGTGAGGAGGGAGCTGTGTGCTGCTGTCAGCCCAACCAGGTCCATGCAGGAGGTGGAGGCTGAGGCTAAAACTGTAATGAAATATGCAGAGAGAAGCCTGAAATGGAAGGAAATCATCAAATCAAAGCTCAACAAACCTCTAAGAAGCAGATCAAATGTACTGTTAAACTACCTTCCCATCAGTGCACAGTGAGTGTTGCCTTGTGTCTCACACAGAATGAGCACAGGGCAAAAGCAGGATGACAACTGGGGGAAATTTAGACAGTAGGAAGAGGTTTTGTTCCCTGTGAGGGTGGTGAGACACTGTCCCAGGTTGCCCAGGGAGGCTGTGGCTGCCCCAGCCCTGGCAGTGTTCACAGCCAGGTTGGATGAGCCTTGAGCAACCTGCTCTGGTGGGAGGTGTCCCTGCCCAGGGCAGGGGTTGGGGCTGGGTGAGCTCTGAGCTTCATTCCAACCCCTTAACACCCTATGAAACAGCTAAAACACCCAAGAAAGCATAAAACCCCCTCAACTTTAAGCAGGTTTGGAGCACGAGGGTGGACATTTGGGAGGAGAAATGGGCATTTGGGGGAAAATTTGAGAGGTTTAGGGGCCCATGAGATGGTATTTGGCGGTTTCCGGGCTCCCCAGGGTTGAAGACGGGGGAGAAATGAACATTTCGTGGGTCAAAGGGTAGTTTTTTGGGGAGGAAAACAAAGATTGCACGGGACATCATCCCTTAACGCAGCTTGTTTTCCTATAAGAATCCCACAGAGGAATTCCTGTAGGACCCAGTGAAAAGCAAAGCCTGAGGCGCCCTCTGCTGGTTGGTAAACAACAACGCAAAGGGAACTGTAACATTGAAGGGTTTAGGGCTGGGAAACCCAAATCCAAACTCAATCCCCCAACATCTCCTGCCAGTTTTCCACCTGTTATGGAAGGACAGAAATCCCTCTGAGATGTTAAAGCACAAGAGGTTATTCCACACCAACTAAACATTTAAAGCTAACCACAAAATCTAAAATAATTAGAGTTGATGTTGTTATATTTGATCAAAATAACTCCCGAATTGCCCCAAGTCCTTCTCAGCAGTGCCCACATTTTCTCCTTGGTTTGTCTCCATAAAGATTTAATCTTCTGCTTATGTTTCCACAGAAAACATTGCTGACATCATCATCTGCTTGTTCCTGTGATGAGTGATGAGCAGTGAGCAGTGGAGTCCCTCAGGGGTCAGTGCTGACACTGTAAACACCTTTGTTGGTGACATGGACAGTGGACTGAGGCTCCCTCAATGATCTCATCTCCAAGATCCATTCCAATCCCTAAAATCCTATGACTTTATGTAAAAAGTTCCTTGATTCCTCCCTGCACTGAGCCCTGGAAAAGCCACACACCAACACACACCCCAAATAACTTGTCTGTACAATTTTATTCCCCACCTGCAGTTACATTTACAAACTGTCCCATCCAAGTAAAGCAATTTGCAAAGTCAAGAGCTACAAAAATCCTTCCATTCCAATCCCTAAAATCCTATGACTTTATGTAAAAAGTTCCTTGATTCCTCCCTGCACTGAGCCCTGGAAAAGCCACACACCAACACACACCCCAAATAACTTGTCTGTACAATTTTATTCCCCACCTGCAGTTACATTTACAAACTGTCCCATCCAAGTAAAGCAATTTGCAAAGTCAAGAGCTACAAAAATCCTTCTCTTCTCTATACATACCACAAGCTTCAGTGTTGACTTCTGTACACAACTACTGATTATACTGAACAAAAATTCACTGTTTTTTTGGCTCTCAGGATCTCCACAAAGGCAACTTGATCATTTTACCGTATGAAATTAAAGGTCTTGGTCTTATTTTCCTTCCCTCTCCTTTCATTCGAAGCTCTTCATGGCTTTGTTTGGGGATTCCGAGGATAAACACTCCCACCCACCTGAAGTGAGGGGAAAAATGCTGAGCAAAACCATTCTGCAACATAAATACTGAAATATTAACTGGTTCAAAGGTTCTCTAAAAGCAGATACCATTGATTTAACAATGACATGAACTAGTACAAACACACAGAGAGAACAGAGGAGACAAAACAATGGGAATGAGGAGCCAGAGCTGCTCAGGGGAGAGCAAAGAGCCTGGAGGGAAGGAGGATGGAACTCAGATACTGCTCTAAGTCACTTGGTTTTAAGCATATCCAAACGACATGAGGAAAATATCTGTATTCCAAGTATCTATACTCCAAACCTAAGTGTTAATGCAGCTCTCAGAGCCAAGGGAAAGCCTTTCCCTAGGAGAGGGCAGGAGACCTGTACAGGCCCAAATCCTGGCCCTGCTGGAATGTGCAATTCCATGAAGTCAACAGGGCAAGAATTCCTTACTTCAAACACCCTTTTCCTACCCAATTCAGCTCAGCTCATCTGTCCCTTTGCTTCATAGTCCCTCAGATATCACTGAATGATGCCAGTCAAGTCTTGACATCTGTTAATTCCTTTAAGGAAGCAACATTGGAAATCTAAGGGAGTTGGAATTCCAGCCTGGGATAAGAGCCAAACTCCACACCAGGCTGTGCATCACCAATCCAGCTCTAATTACACCTTAGTTAATAGTTCTCTTGCAGTAATCTCTTCACACTCTGCTTTTAGACCCCTCCAAGGCTCATGGCAAGGCAACAGGAGGAAAATGACCCACGTGGGAGCTCAGGATTTCTGTCTGGCTCCTCAAACAGCTCCAGAATGGGCAAACCCCATTACCAGCATCATCATGGTGAACAGCAAACAAAGCCAGAGAAGGTAGCTGAGGTTGTCTAACACCAAACACTGAGAAGCTGAAGGTTCTCAGCTCCAATTCATGTACAGTTCCAACTACAGAGTCGACTCAGGGGTGAAGGGATGAAGTTTCCAGCATTGCCATGATACGAAGGACGTGAATATCCACCAAAAAAGCAGTAAATTCAGCAAGGCAAAGGCACACACACACAGAGTTACCTCAGCTGGGGTAACCTGCTTGCATAGATACACCACTGAGCTGGTGCCACTGATCAGGAGCAGCCAGGGAAGAAGATGCAGGAAAAGAATCCCTTTCCCAAGAGATTTGAGGAGTAATTTGAAGGGATTGGACCCAGATTAGATCTGTCAGGACATGTTTCTACACATCACCCAATTTCTCCTCTTTAGGAGGAATTCAAGGTGTTTATATTCATTTTCCATGCCAATTTTCTTCTCAACAAGTAGAAAAGAAATTCCCATTTTACACTATTTGAGCTCAGGCTGCCAGAGGGAGAGAGAATTCCACAACATTTTACCTTGTTTTGTCTATCTTAGTGTCCTTATCTTATTTTTGCAGTAGCCTTGATTCTTCCAGCACCTAACATTCCAAGTGAGTTGGGTCACACATTCAAAACAAAGGCTGAAACTGCTCTGAAATGTTTCAATTTTATGCATTTTCACTGAAAAAAAAATCCTGTTGAAATATAAAAAGTGAAGTCTTTTTTGGGTTTTTTTTTTTTTTGCCTTAAAGGCCTTATGCCTCTTTTTTTGCCTAACCCTGGCAAACCCACAATGACCCTAAAAAGGCAATTAAGACCCAATTCCAAGCCTGGTGCTTCACCCCTTCCCTCACCCCTAACAAAGAGAACACATAAATGAGCCCCTCAAAAAGTCAGGAGGATAATTTGACATCACTGTTTATCACAACACAACACAAGTGATCTCAGCTACAAATTCCTACAACCAGTTCTTTACTCCACAGCTGCAGCAGAGTTTGAGCTCCTGAGAGCAGCCAAACTCTCCTTCTGTGCAGAGACACAAAGGGATTGGTAAAATCAGCTCCTCCATGCAACTGGGATATTACAAACCATGTTCTTTTCTTTGCAGAGAGCAACAAACCTGACAAAAAGAGTCCTAAAATAGAGTTGATTCCCTCTGTGCTCAAGTGATGCCACTGGACAAGTTCTCAGTTGTATGAAATGAGCTTTTGGTAACTCATTTTGGAATTTAACTGCTAATTTTAGCACATTTAAGAGACTGAAAACTCCAAGTCCACTTATTTGTCTCAACAAGTGTCTCTTCCATTTATCCCTCCTGTGCTAAAGTCCAAGTTGTATGAAATGGCCATGTCCTTAGTTGTATCAAATGAGCTTTGGGTAACTCATTTTGGAACTGAACTGCTAATTTCAGCACATTTACCCTAACTTTAAGAGGCTAAAAAGCTCCAAGTCCACTTAGTTGTTTCAACAAGTGCCTTCTCCATTGATTCCTCCCGTGCTCAAGTGATGCCACTGGCCAAGTCCTTAGTTGTATGGAATGAGCTTTGGGTAACTCATTTGGGAACTAAACTGCTAATTTTAGCACATCTATCCCACATATAAAGACTAAAAAACTCCAAGTCCACTTATTTGTCTCAACAAGTGCCTTTTCCATGAGGTCCACATTGTCCAGCTCTGTGTATTCCAGGAGTTTGGCTCTGTAGGAAAGTCATCCACAATGATCTGAACAGATCCACCAGTTCTCCAACCAGCAACAGGTAAAAAAAAAATAATCACTTCATCATTTAAAATATATCTCAGTGACACTTTGCTTTGCTTGGAACTAGAATGTACCAACAGAGAGTATCAACTTGAATTTGTGGCAAAAAAAAAAAAGCTTGCAAAAAAAAGAGATCAACGTCCAACTGTACAGAAAAAGGACATCAGAGCTGATGTGTTTGGGTCACTCAATGTATTTTAGGAAGAGGAGCAAGCTAGGAGTGAAGGACCCTACAGGACACACACTCAAACACCTAAGCCAGGCTGTGTACACCTCTAGTGCAGTGCAGGGTTAGTTCCAGAGAGGGAAGTTTGGGAGCAGGATCAAAGTGCAGCTCTGTGGAGTTAAACTTGATCACGGAGGCGAGCGAGTCTCTGGGACAGCTCATCCTGTTTGTGGAAACACAAACACACACATAAGCAACAGGAGAAACAATTTCTGCCACCAGAGAGAATGTTAAGGGGTTGGAATGGAGTTTAGAGATGATCCAGCCCCAACCCCTGCCCTGAGCAGGGACACCTCCCACCAGAGCAGGCTGCTCAAGGCTCAGCCAACCTGGCTGTGAACACTGCCAGGGTTGGGGCAGCCACAGCCTCCCTGGGCCCTCATGTGCAGCTAATAGGAAATTTTCTCATGTCTTCACAGGATCATAGAATATCCTGAGTCGGAAGGGACCCATAGGGATCATCTAGTCCAACTCCTGACACTGCACAGGACTCCCCAACAATCCACCCTGTGCCTGAGAGCACTGGCCAAACACTCCCTGAGCTCTGTCAGCCAACGGCTATGGGAGAGGTCTGGATTCACTCAACTTGGAGTAGGCAGGAGAGTCAACTGGTTGGAACTGTGAAACAGCCATGGAAAAATTCACCTGAAGTTCCTGGATTTACTAGGCAGACAAATCTATCACTAAAATTACCTTGATAGCAAGACTGTTTTAACTACAGACTGTTTCCTTTGCACAGCTAAATGTAATGACAGCTTAGCCATCCTGTTTTGACTCCATTCTCACACCACATTTCTCTGGCAAACATTGACCTCAAGGAAATCTAACACTTACCTGTTCTGCTGAGGCAACACTTGTTCCAACAGAGCCTGTCTGTCCTTGAGGTAGTTCCATGTTCAGATCAAGACTACACAGGAGAAAACAGAACAAAACCAAGGCAGGCATATATGGATAAAGGAGGCAGCACAGGAAGGGACAAGCAGAGGGATACTCAGGCAGCACAAGGCCACCAGGATCCCAGGAATGTTGTGCTCCAGCTAGGTAAGCTGATGAATAATTCTGACTCTTTACTGAGCAGACAAGTCATATAGAATTTTAGGGGTTGGAATGGACATTACAGATCATCCAGCCCCAACCCCTGCCCTGGGCAGGGACACCTCCCACCAGAGCAGGTTGCTCAAGGCTCAGCCAACCTGGCTGTGAACACTGCCAGGGTTGGGGCAGCCACAGCCTCCCTGGGCAACCTGGGACAGTGTCTCACCACCAGAACAGGCAAAACCTCTGCCTGACATCTAACCTCAATTTCCCTCCTTCAATTTGTGCCCACTGCCCCCTGTGCTGTCCCTGCAGCTCCTAACACAGATCCCTCTGCAGCTTCCCTGGAGCCCCTTCAGCTCCTGGAAGGTGCTCTGAGGTCTCCACACAACCTTCTCTTCTCCAGGCTCAACAGCCCCAACTCCCTCAGCCTGTCCTCACAGGGGAGATCCTCCAATCCTCTGAGCAACTTCGTGGCCTCCTCTGCACTTGCTCCAACAGTTCCATGTCCTTCTGATGCTGAGGACACCAGAACTGTGTGCAGGATTCCAGGTGAAGTCTCACCAGAGCAGGGGGGGAGAATCACCTCCTTCACCTTTTGATACATCCAGAGGTGAAAGGAAAATGGTGGTTTTCCTCTCTTCCAAGAGACAGACATATACAAGAAGGGGCTCTGACCTCCAGCTAACCAGGAAGGGTTGTGGGAAGGAAGATTTATACAAGAGAGAATCAGTCATTCAAGGTTTCACCTACCCTGCTTCATCTGCCATCTCCTGCAGCAGCATGTCCACTTGGTTCTAGAGGAAAACAAAAGGGATTGGTGCATTGGGAGTTTCTGACAAGCTCTTCTGTTCAGTCCTCAAACAGCAATGATTTTAACAGCACTGATGTAAAGGCAAATGTTTTTTGCAGAACAGTTTTGTGCTCAAGTTCTAGAAGGCTTTGTATGAACCCGAAAATCATGAGGTGCTCAGCAGTTAAAATGACATTAATTGAACTCTGTGCAGTAAAGCTCCAAAAGAATTCAACATCTCTGTAAAAATCCTCAAGTGCTGGTTATGAGCTTTGCACAACATGGCCAAAAGCCAATCTCCAACAGATCTGGTTGACTGGATTTGGGTGTAGGTTTATTTTACTGTCTCCGGTAAATTTCTCTCTCTGACCAATGTTCTGTTTGAAAACCACATTTAGCTCCTTGTGGAACAGCACAAGGAGAGAGTTTTGGGGGATTCTTAACTGTGCCAAGCATTGTTTCAAGATTTATGTTAGTGAGCACAAGTCCAGCAACCGAAAGTAGGTGATTGACAACCCTTCATTGCACATTCTACCTCAAATTTGGTGGTGACTCATGTTACCAGTGAGGTGGAACTCACAGCATATCCTGCTTTGACAATTAATGGGGCAGAAGTTCATCAGGAACTCATCAAAACTCTTATTCAGTCGGAGGGTTAAAGTATGCAAGGAAATAAAGCCTGAAAAAAAGAGTGAAATAGCTAAAATACATTTTTGTGATCCTCTGGACTTGGAGCTGTAGTTTGAAACAGTCGTTTCATCCCAAAGCAAAATGCCCCAGTGGCTGCTGTGTCTCAGAGTACACAGAAAAAAAGACACTTTCATACAGTTTAGACACATAATTTAAGTCCCTCTTGTTAAAACCATCTACTGTCCTTACCTGTGGTGTTGTTAACGTTGTGGTGTTGCTCATTGTGTCTTCCATCTGCTGTGTCTGGACATCCAGGGTTTCAAACTGATGCTCAAACTTATCCATTAGTGCAGAGATCTGTAAAAAAAATAGCAATCAAATCAATTATCTGTAGATAACAAAGGAAATATATCTCAGCTGGCAAAGACAGAATCACACCATCAGGACAACAACCTCTAGAGATCAGAAGCTTAATCCTCTCCCCTCCCAACCTCACTGCAAAATCTTTTCTCTTGATGGAATTTCCCTGTTTAACACTTGTATCCTTTGTCTTCTCTGCTTTGGCTGTGCAGCTCCAAGGCAATGAAGTCTATTTACCTTTTCCAAGTTCATGCTCTTCAGTGTGGCATCCATGGACTTCACCACTCCTGCCATGGACTTTGTTACCTGGAATAAGGGGAAGGGAATTGTTACAGAGAAAAATGGGCAGTTTAGGGAGAAATTCCTCTCTGTGAGGCTGCTCCATCCCTGGGAGTGTTCCAGGCCAGTTCTCTTATCCACAGAGTTTCTACAGCACCAAACATACTTGGTCAGCCTGGAGAAGAGGCTCAGGGGTGACCTCCTGGCTCTCTGCAACTCCTGCCAGGACTGGAGAGAGGTGTGGGATGTGTGTCCTGCCAGGGCTGCAGGGAGAGGATAGAGGGAATGGCCTTGAGCTGAGCCAGATTGGATGTGAGGAGAAATGTTTTCCCTGTTGTGGTGTTGAGGCCCTGGGATATTGCCCAGGGAGGTGGTGGAGTCATCATCCCTGGAGGGGTTTCAGATCTGGTGCTGGAGAATCTGGTTTAGGATTTAGAGGTTCCAGCAGTGACAGGTTAGTGGTTGGACTTCATGATGTCAAAGGTCTCTTCTAACCTTGCTGGCTCTACGATTCTCTGATTTCTGGGCCGAGACTCACCTTGCCCATGGTCACTGCAGTCTGCACTCTGGCAGCCACAGCATCCACCCTGGCACTCATCCTCAGGAAGTTGATGGCCTGGTTCTTCTGGCGGATGGCATTCTCAGCATGGATCCGTGCCACTTCCATGTTACCCTTCTGAATGGCCTGGGAGGGGAAAGAAAGAGGGAAAAAAAAAGGCATTTTAGCTTTTGCTGCTGTTGCAAACAGTTTCTGAGCAACTTGTTTCATTTCTGCAATAAGCATCAATTTCTTACTGCATTTTTCCTATTAGAAGAGAAAAATCAACCTCTCCCTCAGCCCCCAACAGATTCTGAACATTCTCAAGGCATGAACCCCTAACTTCTTTCCAAGGAAGTTATCTAGAATGCACTTTACAGAGCTACATTAACATCATCTTCTATTCCTTAAGCATTTTTGGTCTCAAAACCCAAACACAGATGCAGGTGCTGTGGTTGTACCTCGTGGCCTAAGATAAACTCAGTTCATATCTCTCTTCACTCCTTCAAGACTCCAAAGCTATTTTGAAGTGCCTCTCCCTAAGCCCTTTGAATACGAGATGATAAACATGAAGTATTTTTAACTTTGAGAACAACAGTCTCTAACAAAGTACACACAAGACAATCCTCCTGGGAAGCAAATGCCACAGGCTGAGCAGGAGGATACACAGGGATTTAGCCTCATGTTTATGGATGAGAATGGGAAGATTTATAGTCACATATTTTAAATCACAAATGCTGATCAGAGGATTATTAGTATTCACACCAGGGAAAGGGTAAAAACACCAGATGTTTTCCTGCTGCAAGCAGTAAACAGATCTAAAAAAGCTTTTTCCAGACTTACCTTCTTAATTTTAGCTTTCTCAGCCTTTTCTTCTTTGTCACATTTCTTGGAGTTCCTGTTGAGCTCCTTTGCAGCAAACTTCAAGTTGAACAGGTGTTCTGTGGTGTAAGTTAAGGGCTCAAGAACAGGATCAATCCCTCAGCCCTAGTGCTTTGCTCTCCTGTTTGAAGCACTACCAAACCTTGTACATATTGTGCTTCCCCTTCAGCGAGATTAAAACTTGCAAAATGTTATTTAAGCCCTTGAAATCTGCAGGATAAGGAGAGTTACTAAGGTGCTTTGTAATTATCATTGCACTTATCATCTGTGTTCTAAAATGCAAGTTCTGAACCCAAACTGGCTCCACTTACCACCAAATGAAATCTGCAGGGTAAGAAGAGATCCAAAGGTGCTTTATAATTACAATTACACTTATCATCTGTGTTCTAAAACGTAAGAAATAAGTTCAGATCCCAAACTGGCTCCATCTAACACCAAATTTACTCCAGGCTGATAAATACAAGAAGCCAAATACCTCCCAGGAGGAACTGAGAGCCTTTTCCTGCTGGTTACTTTCACTCCCACACTCAGAGCCTGTGAATGACACGATCTATTGATGCCTGGAACCTTCTCATCTGAAAAAAAAATCCCCAAAGCCACTGAGGAACCAGGCGAATGAGCAGTGTAAGAGTAAACTGGCTCAGCTGCCCTGCCCAGCAGGGATGGGCTCAGATGGGAATGGCTCATCCAGCCCTGGGTCATGTGAGCCATCCTGGGCTCCCTGACAGATCCAGCATCTGACTTCGGGGCAGAGGATCCTCAAGTAAGGAAGGAAAACTTTCTAAAAGCAAAAGTTCAAGTTCTGGTTAAGCTGGGAGCTCTAAGGAACAGTAAGATGAGCATTCAGAGTGCCTTGGAATGACTGCATTGAGCTGTGACTGACAGAGAACAAACTATACTCTCAAAACACTGCTGAAAGCTCCCAAATAATATCAACCTTTGCCACAAAAAAATGGAAGCAAAAAGCTCTGTAAGCTTTTTTCCTGCCACCTCTGATATCCCAAGGGGAAGAGGCAGCAGGTACTTAAGCAGAAACACAGAAGCTAAACATTACAAGTGCTTGAGGTTTCTTCAATATTCCAAGTATATGAATTATTCCAGAGCTGGTTGTTGTTTTCAGCTCCAGCCATGAGTCTCAGAGCTCTGCCAGCAAGCTGCAGACGCTTGGAATGTCCCTGTTAGCCTACAAACATCACAAACAGGCTACAAACGGCACTGGGGTGATTTTCCACCTAGGATCTCTATCAGGTAGTACCAGCAGCACTGACATTGCTGCTGGTAATGTGCTTTAAACCCCAAGCCACCAACCCCTTCAGCAGCACTGAGTGTGTGCTCTGAGCCACAGATCAGGTAGTTACCAAGCAAGAAAATACCTCCAGGCTGTTCCCTCTGCTCAGAGTAAATCATGACATCACCTACTTACACCGGAACAGCTTTTCAGAGAGGTTTGTTTGGAAACAACTTCCTCAGTTACTCACTTCACCTGACAGCAGCTCACCCTGCACCTCCTCAGC